TTTTTTGACGTCAGAGCAATCAAAATGATCGAAATTTTAATTTAAATATTTACTTACTTTGGAGATTCTTTGATGAAAAGGTGACAAAAGTAACGGAGAAGAAAAGAGAAGTAAAACTGAACGAAACGTGAGAGAATATGACAAAATTAATCCAATTATAACGGATAACGAAATTGGACTAATTCAGAAATTGGGCAGCTATTCTTGGTGGAACAGATGTAGAAAAATTCCGAGAGTTGGTTAAGTGAAATTACCTGCGTACAAATTCTGGTAATCAGATCGAGGGAAAAGAGGAGAGAATCTGCTGCGCAAGAAATGAATAGAAAATAAACGACCAATTCGAGAGCAGGAATGTTTGGTAGAAATTCTATGAATTTATAACGATCCATTTCTAGAAATTCGAATTTTTCGTATATAATAGATCCCTTACGCTTTTATTCTTCTGATACGATTTTTACATTTTAATTGATCACTCTGTCGTTAAACAAAAAATCTTCGAAAAATAGCGCTGCTTTCTCTGTGAATAAAATAAAATAGCGAAATTTCGACAATCGTGAGGAGAATGAAATATTTTTTTCGAAGCGACGGAATTAAACATACTTCAATCCTAATCGCAATGAAGGGACCGTGAGCGATTCTAATAAATGCATAAATGTGTCAATTCAATTAGCATGGATTTCCAAGCTCGATCACGCTAATCTTCTTACGTTTAGATCTTCTCTGATGAAGATTCTAATTCCTCTCTTTCTAATTAAAGGAAGCAACGCATCTCTTTCAATGGAATGAAACAATCGTTTCGTTCGATCGAGAATAATTTGTCCGTAAACCAATACGAGCACTCGATACCGAAACTGCAATTAGTTAACACGTTGACTGCCACAATAATCACCGGCGACATTCCCATTTCGATAAATATTTCCAAACGATTAAAATATCATCGAGAGAGTCGAATGAAAATTTTAAATAACATAAATAACTAGATAATACCGCAAAATGAGAGTCGCGCTTTCCCATAGCATTTTTACATATTGCAACGTAAACGTTTTACAAAAATTATTAAATATTCTCTGCCGCGAGCATAACGTATGAATCTTGCACGACAGTTAACGTTATAACAAAAAAAAAAAAAAGAGAAAGAGAGAAAGAGGAGCACGTTGATGAAATAATCGCTGCAAACAGCACTGGCGGCTGCGATTCGCTGGTGTTATCGGTGTCGCCTTATCGTTCGTAGTTGATAAGAAATTCGCCTGTGCGGCACGAAGAGAAAGAGTGGAAAGAAGGGGGAGAAGAGAGGAGGAAGTAAACGACGAAGATTCGATCGATACGGCGATAAGATAACGTGGCGAAACGCGTGAAACGAGCCTCCTCGAATGAAACAGCAGCGATCCCGATCTCTCGTCGAGCCAAACACGATCGTTAAACGATCCGATTCGTAAATTCGTTCGGCTCGGACCGGACCCCGGCTTGGATTTCACGACAAACGAATCATGCCGATGATAACTCGGCTCGGCTTTCGCGTGTACCGTTTTCAACCGCAAGTTTTCGCGCGCGAAGCGTTGTTGGCGCGGCCCGATACGTGACCCACGTTTACGTGCAGATATTTCATAACGGGAGCGTGTCGCGCAATAACTTAAAGGTGCAAGGGCGAATCGATTTGATACACGTGAAAAACGGAGCCGGAGGGGAAGGTGGGTGGGTGGGTGGGGGGGAGGGGAGGGGAGGGAGAGGGGTGAGAAAGAACGCCGCGATAACGGCATGTAGAGTGCAAATGTAAGTTTGCTCGACGAAACTTTATATGTAACCTCTCCGCCCCGCGATTTTTTCTCTGTTCCTCTCTGCTCGCAAAAAGGAGAGAAACACCGAAAACGGAGTAACAACGCACACCTCAAGACGGCAAAAGACCGACTGAAAAGCACGCGAGGGAGGGAAGGTCCACTTGTTTCGGCGGGGAGGGGTACGCGCGTTTTCCGTAGCGGCGTGGCACGGCATCAAGTGGAGAAGAAAATGGAGTGGGGGGTTCAAGCGCGAGCTGGTGGGGGAAATGCGGGAGAAGTGGGGGGGACTGGTGTCGCGCGATAACCGTCGCCGAGGTGCAAACCAGCCGCGAATTCGAAAGGCGGCCAGTTGCTGTTCGCGCGTCGTCTACGCCGCGTCGTGCGTATATCGTGTCGAGATACACCGAGGTAAAGATCGTCTCGTCCAAATTATCGTCGTCTCCAAGTCTCGCGGCGTCGTGCAAACGTCGTTTGTCGTGCCTCTCGAGGCGATTCTGCGCGATCGATCGCGGTATCACAGTGTGTTTCACCTTCCAACCAATCTCCCACACTCTGAGAATAAAGAAAAGAGAAAGAAACAAGAAGCGCGACACGAGTCCTCGAGATCTGAAGCGCGAGCAGCTCAATAATAATAATAATAATAATAACGAGGAGGAGCCTAGTGAAAAGTTCACGAGTGAAGATCACGCGATGCAAAAGGTTACAGAGGCGTCGATCGCGCGCGACTCTTTCCTCCTACTCTCTCTTGATCCTCGGGAGGAATGCTTGACCTTCCAACGGCGACAACCCGTGCGAGCCGCGGGTAACATCCTCGAAAGATCGTTGCATAACTATGACACGGCAACGACGGTACGAACGATGACGCTAGAGCGCGTCGCGAAATACCGACGGATTTTTCCGCGGCTGATGCAAACAATGGGTGTGACTGTCCGCCTAAAGCCACACGTAGAAGAAAGAACTCGGTCAATGAGTCGCGTTATATCGTCTACGACCACCGACGACGACGACGACGACAATCGCGGAAATAAGCCTGGCCAGCCAGCCGATCGCGTGGGCAAACCAATACGTAGCAGTCTCGGATGACCGAATGGGATCGGTGTCGTCGGGTTCAATCGTTCATGTAACGCGTCGTTTCCCACGTGGCACGTACGTACGTGCGTGCTGTCGTGACGCGTGTCAGCCGTCGTGCGTCGTCTTCGACAGAGGATCCGACTTGATCGTCGATTAACTCCATCGTCCGTCCCCCTTCTCACTCGCTACGAGCGATTTCCTCCTCTAAATTTACTCCCGCTTGCTCGCGTTCTTCTCGAGAAAGAATTCACTTCTGAAACTTGTGCAACGGGCAACGTTGAGTCGAAGCAGCAACGATAATAATAACCAAACGATTTGCTTTGAATGGAACGACGTTATGGTAATCGTTCACACGAGACGCGTCGACCGGCGCGCAGCTGTCGAGCCACAGAGACGTTCTGCCAACATTTTTCTCGTCGCAGCTGCACAGTGTGTACAGCCGCGTTGTACGTAGCGCTGTGCAAACGTTTCGCGTATCGAAAGGGTAGCCATATCGGTTTTCGATGCGATCGTTTAGTCGCAACTGCACGTTCTACGCTCCGTTCCGAAGGCTGTGGACATCGATGCTTCCGCGTTTACCCTGCGCTATCGTCAGACACCGAAAGAAATTTCACCGGGCTTCGCGCACACACACACACGCACACACGCGTGCGCTTTGATTTTTTTTCTTTCCCCTCCCCCCGAAAACTCGACGACGTCCACACAACACCACATGGGACCGGACCGGCTGGAGCGCACTCGCGCGGTAAATTGACTTTGCCCCGATGTACGCGCTTTATCGCGCGTAACGATTTCTGTAAGAGCATAATTTCTCGACAGGTTTGTTCGTAGTGGATAAAAATAGCCAGATCTTCTCTCTCTCTCTCTCTCTCTCCCTATTTCCCTTCAACTTCTCTTTTTGCAAAATTTATGGCGCCAGTGGGAAAATCTGTTTGTCGCGAATTAGCGTGTCGGAGAGTATCGTTTCGAATCGATCGTAATCGAATACACCGGTCGGTGGGATTCTTCCGTCGGTGGGCGAGCTGTCGATAAAAATAACGAAACTTCGTATATATCGTCTCGGCGATAACGGAATCGAATCGCGTCGGCCAATTTCGTTCTTCCTCCGAGTGAAATAAACGCCCGTGGAATTCGATTCGATGGGAAGAAAGTACCCCCGACGTGCCCTCTTATCCGCGCCACTTCCAACAGAACGATTAATCGAACCTTTCGATGTATATCTATAGCATGTATATATATATATATATATATATATTGGAACGAGAGCTCGACCGTGATTGCAGGATTATCCGTTGTCTCACCCGGCTAACGGCTAGAGTTTGACCTTCGAGATATCCGATCTTAATCCCTTGAGGGGGGCGGCGTAAAGAAGTCTCGATCGTCGTCGAACGAGCTTCGGCCATCGAGAGGGTGCTTCCTTCCTTCTCCTTTGCTTTCCTCCCTCGTTTCCCCCGCTGTTATCGGTAGCTGAGAATTGCCAGCGATTTACCAGTTCGCAGAAGTCGCGGTGACGATAACCACGCGAAAGAGCAGATAAGAAATTGAAATAAGGAACGGGCTTTCGGATTGGGATCGAAGAGAACGGAGAGAGGAAATACACGATCGAAAATCATTCGCGTACGGAATCTAGAAAGGATGGAAAACGTAACGTGTTCGGGTAGCTGACTGAGAAGAAACTACGGATGTCTGTGCATATTAATATTTATTTTCGTGAACGTGATTGAAAATATGAAAGTCAAATGGATCTTATCTAATTCACTGATCAGCTCTAAATAATTTTGTTTCGACAGTTTCTGACGATCCGGGTGAATTACGTCAGGAAGGAACGCCGAAAAATATCGGAAGATATCTCCCAATTAGAGAATCAGGATGTGCACGCCAGTCGCTCGTTCGTAACGAACTAAATTCTAGTTACCATGACAATCACGTTGCGCTCTATTCTGGTTTAACCAGATGGTCGGCTAAATAGTTAACTATTCCACGACCCGAATCTACTCACCCGTGTCTTTTCCACAAGAATAACATCCACCGTGACACAAGACATACCTCGCCAGTGTGATTCCGTGGATGTTGTAGACGTTCGTCGCGATCACGTAATGGGAAAGTGATTTTGCTCGCGCTTGTCTCGTGGTTGTCGCGTGCGCGTCAATGGAAATCGCGCGCGAGGGGGAAACAACGTGTTACGAGACAGAAGCAAAGTTTTCAACGAGTGCCCTAGAACACTGTACGACCGCGCGGAGAGCCTGAGCAAATAGCTTGGAACATATATGAATATCCATTAACGAAAAGTAAATCAGCCGCGGCGAAATGTTTAACCAGCCGACCGCGAAAATCGTTCCGTGGACGAGGTTGAATAATTTCCTCGGCAACATCCTCCTCTACACGTTGGCAAATAAACCTACACGCACGCACGCACGCACGCACGCACGCAACTTTCTGCACCGCGTTCCTTCTCCACGCCAGTTTTCCATCCACGTCGGCCCGACCTGACCACCACCATCGATTCGTCCATCGACTCCGACTCATTTCTCTCCACCTCTCTCCCTTTGCTCGTTTCTCTCGTTAAGGTATGTACCGCGTTCGTTCCTCTTGCCGGAGATCGGATCAAGTCCAACGCTTACAAATCCGAATCAAGTTTCGTTTTGTGCTCGAGAGAAGGAAGAATGCTTTCGAGAAACAGAAAGTTCTATTTCCCAATCAAAAGTCTCTGAGACACAGACAAAATCTTATCCGAAATGGTTTACCCAAAATAGACATTTCGGTAGATGTTATCGGTAAATATATATGATGATTTTGTATTCAATTTACCACGATCAGTATTCCAACGAAAGAAGATACTTAAAGACGTACAAACGTAAACTAAGGCACTCGATCCCATCACTATCTATCGATAGTCGAGTCTGTTCCATTTTCGGAAGCACTCGCAAAACAAATACTCGTTCGAAACTCTCCTAAACTCGAGTATCTTTGAGAGTTACTTAAAAAAATTAGAAATACTTGGAAAGAGTTCGAATCCAATGATTAGAGATTCAAATCTACTCGGTCCCAACACTACTATATTCGAGTCTGTTTTAAAGTATCGTTTTCATTTTCGGAACGACTATTCATTCGACACTATCCCGAATTCTAGTATCTTGGAAAGTACCATTGGAAATACTTGACACTAGAACTACCGAAGATTAAAGTATAAAAATTAATAATACGATAATGAACACTATAGTTTACATAATTTTACAATACGATGTTCATATATTTTACAAAAAAATCACTCGAATTTCTAAAACATGTAACATTGTAAATCCGCTCTAAAAATTACTCTAAAAAAATTAGTATAATAAATTGGTCATTTGAACTACCGCTTTGGTAGTTCTAGTGTTAAAAATAGTTCGTTTAATCCAATGATTAAAGATTCTTGAATCTATCTGTTCCCTCACAAGGTACTCGATCTGAATTCTATATCTTCCCCGGTGTTTTTCCGGTTAGGTTCGCCTCTCGTTGGCGAACGATAGTTTCGTAGCGAGCCTCGTCGTGATTCGTTGGTTCGTTAGTTAGTATCGGAGCGTTGTCGCCCAGAGAGCAACGTCAGTGCACGGTGGCCAATTAATCGCTCACGCTTGCTCGTATACTCGCGTTCCGCGATGTGTTGATCGGTGCCAGAGTAAAGAAAGAAAAGAAAAAAAAAAAAAATGCGAATTCCAAGAGGAAATACGATGTACAAAGAAGCGTATCGATTCGAAGTGAAAACCGGTTGGCGCTCGTTACCAGATTGCGCGCGGTCCGCTTCCATCGTTTCTCACTCGTTTCGCGATCGTTCGACATTTTTGCAACGTGGAACCTTGAAACGGACCGGAGGTAGACTATGGTCTGTATCGCGCAAGATCATCCATATTTTTGCGACACCCGTTGTATTCAATATGCTCGTCAAGTCAGAATCCTATCGACTATAGAACAACGCTCGTGCCTAGTCCTAGCCTGAGAGTGTATATAAAAAAAAAAGCGTGGATTATCCGATTCCACCCGCTCCAGTTACTCGGATCACAGTTGCATCGCATCGTCCTTTGATTCTTCGTCGAACGACTCCCTGTGAAATTCACAGCTCGCGACGCGAGAGACGATAGTGCGATAATTAAAGGGCAAAGAAACGAACACAAGCGTTCGTTCTTCTGTGAAGTTTCCGAGGTGTGCTCAAAGGTGTCTCGTCGCGAGACACTGAATCGAACGTGGAAAGGAAAATTGAACGTTCGTCAAAGGACTTGAACGTCGTCTGGCAACTCTCAGTCCCGCCCACCTCCCTCGCCCGGCCGCGTAAACATAATCACATTTATCACCGGTCGCAGTGTGACAAATGGGATTAACGAGGATCCCACGTTCAAGACGGCGCGCAATAACGCGCGTTCGAAATCTTTTAACTCGCCGGTAGGGACGAATCGAGCACCGCGTGCTCGTTAGACTAATCAACAAGTCGACTCTGGAGTTTTTTGATACCGTGTCCGCAGAGAGAGAGAGAGAGAGAAGACAGAGACGAGAAAGGACCGGAAGAAATTAAGAGCGCAGCGCTCTCGAGAAGAGTCAAGCTCGCGGAAAAATTCTCTCCTGCCTTTTATTTTTTTCAAATTCGACCCGCCTTTCATTCGCGCCACCCTTTTCACGACCATTGACGCGCCTCTCTCTCTCTCTCTCTCTCTTCTCCTTCATTCAATCCGCTCCCCCTCTTATCACCGACCTGTATTCTCGCTCGACGAATGGAAATTTTAATTCATTAAAATCGCCAGCTACAACGTTTCTACAAAACGGCTCTTTCTTTTGTCGTTTTCGCGCGCCAAATTAGCGGGGGATTTCGCCTCCTCGCGTTAGACGAAGGATCTTCCTGTCTCGTAGAGACCGTAGTCTGTGATCTCTCCGTTTCGAGGAGAATTACGACACGAGTGAACGTTGGAGTGTATAGTAGACGATCTTCCCAACGGCAAGTCTGTGATTTCTCTTCTGGAGGAGGGTTGTTCCGGTTGTTTCGATGAGAAGTTAGAGACGTTTCTCTTTCCCTTCTCTACTCTCGTGGAAAATTATGACTCGTGCGAATGTTGGACTGTATCGATCATCTTCCGTAAAACCTCTCCGATCGATTTTTCAAAGCAAATTACACAACTCGCAACGTGAAGATCAGTGTCGGAATACCCGTCCTCGGGGAAAGGAACAGCTACTCTGGCACGATTTAACTAACTGAAAGGAACGCCAATCAACTCTCTCCTCGTTGCTTGAACACTGGAATATTTAAATACGGCCGCGTTCTTGAACCCGCGGCAATCTTACGAAAGACTACGACGACACGTGCGTTCACGGAGACATTGAGAATGCCGCGATTTATCGAGATTTAATGAACAGTCGTTTCACCGACGAGCCGAAGAAGAAAGAGCTCTGATTATTCGATAATCTCGTGTGTCTTCTCTTATTTGTACCCACGCTCGCACGTGGGTATTGTTCAGAATTTTTATTCGGTAACTCTGAAGTTCGAGAGTGAATTCGTTTCAACGAATCGAAGTAAATAAGAGTGAACTGAATGCCAAAGTAGTTTAAATCTCCAGTTTCTCTCTGACCGGACTATTAGAATTGATTCACTTAATAAATCCTCCATCTCTCACATCTTAAGACTGGCATACTTCGCTTGGCCATTCGTTATTGGCTTTCACTTTTTCCCTCTCTGTTTGTCATATATATTATTCGTTAAATAAGTATCAAATATTATACTATTATATATATATATAAATAAATATATATATAGTATAAATATACTATTATATACATAAATATTTATACTATTTATACTATTATATTTATAATAGTATAAAAATAGTATACTATTATACTATATAGTATATTATTATACTATAAATAGTATACTAGTATACTATTTATACTATTTAAGTACTATTACATACATAAATATTTATACTATTTAAGTACTAACTTGGTTAAATAATTATTTACCGCTTACAGTAATATTTATTACGTATTTATTCAGAAATAAACGGCTCTTATCACGAGTGACTAAATAGAAACTAAAATGTAGCTCGTTAAAGACTCAAAAGGCTAGCTGTTAGACACAGTACTGCAAGTTTAAAATGTCATTGCACGTAAGCCGATTATTAAAAGCTATTGCCCGTGACAAGCTGGAACGTGCTAGAACGTAATCATTTTCTAACTCGGCGGTGAATTTTTCCTCGTCTTGCGACACTCTGAAATAGCCGATCTCTCGGCAAACAATATTCGAACTGTACTCGTATACGTCTACGCAACTTGGAAAATGTTAGTTTTCATTCGAAACGACTTGAAAACACCACTAAACAAAAATACACAACACGTCACAACGCTAATTGCTATCAGTCCTTTCTACGAGACTAATCTAAAAGACGAAACGTAACGAATCGTAATCCCTTCTCTCTCGTAACCAAACGTGGAATCCAGATTACAGAGAGAGAGCTTGTTTGAAAAAGTTTCATCGCGATAACGAGCGAGCGAGCGAGCTGGTGTTTGAACGACCTTCTCGAAACTAGATCAAAAATTCCTGCGTAATATACGTTTGCAAGCGAGGCTTGATATTAGTAGACGCGGCTCGGTGTCACGACAGTTTGATCCACTCCAGTTACGCAACGCTCGAACGATAGCAATTACCAGCGAACATCTGGATGCGCGTTTACGCGATCTGAAAACTCTGGCATACCACTGGAAATATCAGACGTAATCGAGGGGGAAAAAGAAATTGCCGCGGTTTCTTAGAATGAGAATTTATCTTTCGAGAGGTCTAAACGCGACTGACGTATATCTTTACAATCTCTACGACTTTTTCTCGTCAAATACACGTTGCCAGTTCGTAGATTCCGCTTTTACAAGAGTGGAAAGATTTTGACACAATTAACGAGGTGTCAACGATCAGCGCGAGTTATTTCCCATTAAAAATCGCGAACATGGAGCTTCTCTTTTCAAAGAGAAGTCAGTGGTTTGGTCACAATATCGCGATAATTGCGTCACAGCGATACTAAACTTCGTTTCGATCGGCGATTTTAACGATAAAGGGACACTTGTATGGTACGAGTTGTCTTTAACGAAAAGTTAAAAAATTAACTAGCTGGCTCCTCAGACCTGATACCCCACGCGACACGTGCATAAATGGGTTATCTCTATCTTTAACGCTAGAACTACCAAAATGGTCAAAACGACCAATTTGTGATTTTTGTTAGAAAAACTTATAGATGTAGAGACAGTGTATATTCAAAGATTCAAGTAATTTTTCGCAAGATATACAAATTAAAAGCTCGGTTGATCTATCATACTGTAGCTTTTTTACTTTCTTTACTTTAATATCTCCGAGAAAAATTCTCTGCTCTAGTCGCCGGTTAGTTCTAGTGTGAAAGTTGTAAAGAATCAAATTAAATCGGCTCTCTCTAAACCGAAAAGTCGCGATCGGGGTTTCTCTGGTTAGCCCGATATTTCCCCCCCCAGAATCGAAGTGTAAAATCGGAGTGATTTCTGTTGTGCAGCGTAGCGTAATTCCAGTTGGAGAACAACTATGAATTTAATGCGCGTCAGGCTGCGCCCGAGCAATCGAGAAGTACAGCGCGACTGTGTAATCGCGTTCGCGTTCCCCGAAGGGCAAAGTGTTTAACTTGCAGCGGCGTGTGTGTCGAGCGTGCGTGTCGCGTGCTCTCGCATAACACGGAATCCCGTCTCGGCGGAGGAAGTTGCGCGGCACTTGCTCCCAGCGCACGAGCAAACGGAAGAACGACCTGGCGTACGCCTTCTCACATGTAAATCAGAATCAAGCCGATCAAACCGGATTCGACAAAGATTCCTTTGCCACGTCCTTGAAATCGCGCTCGTTTCTTCTTCGTTCCTTCCATTTCTTTCTTCGTTTGCGTAACTGATGCCCGGCTCGACGATCTGGAGTACTCGAATTGTTTTTCAACCGTAAAATAAACTCGAATCTAGTAAATCGCTAGAGTCAATCCACGCTGTTTGAAAGAATGTTTGAAGATCGACGAGCAAACTGGAATTTGTCAAGTTTTTAAACGGCCGATCTCGCGTAGCTGAACGCGTCAAAGTTCCACCGATAGCGGCGGAATCTAGGGAAAACGTTTATAATTAGTCACGCGAGAGTACACAAGAGAGAAAGCCAGGCTGCAGAGAGAGAGAAAGAGAGAAAGAGAGAGAGAGAGATGATTACAGCTGTGGCGACGAGCAACGAGATCACGTGGATTTTTCATCGCGACGCACGCCTCTGTGATTCACTGTCGTAACAATGGCACGCGTTATATTCTCTTTTCGTTCGGGGGGGAACTAAAAACGAAAAAGAAAAAAAAAAGAAAAAAAGACAAGAAAAGCGAGGAAAGAAGGCCGGGTAAAGCACGTAAGCGGAATTCTCGATTACGGTGGATGCAGCACCGTGAACGATGATAACGATCTCGCGGGCTCGAGTGGCTCGATTTATCAAATCGGTCCACGTCGACGAAAAGAATGGAGGGGGGAAAAAATGAAAGAGTAGAGAGAAACGATGCACACACAGAATCTTCTCGAGATGGCCGAGACGAAATGGAAACGTTTGACAGGGCGACTGTCCAAGAATTTCACAATTTTTCTATCGTTGCAGCTGGATTTTCGGGTGCAAGGTCGAATGAAACGTACAGAGGCCGGCGGAGGCTGGCCGTGATGCTGGACGATGTTGCACGGTATCACGGGTGTAATTGGATGTTTCCGGCCGAACGAAGGAAAATAACGACGGGGATGACGTCGTAGTCGAACTGGAACCCGTCTCGCGACAGCTCGAATGACGACCGACCGAGGCGGAAGCATCGTGGAAAGTCGTCACGCGTGAGAGAAAGAGAGAGAGAGAGAAAGAGAGAAAAGTCATGGGGATCCTGACTGCAACATGACCGACAGAATTACGTAGTGGCGCGTGGCGTGTCAGACCCCGCCGGCACGGGACTCAGTGTGTTCTTCGCGTCGGGTATTTTCGTGTGATTTGTGTTCCCCAGCGTCGAGGGTGTATCACGTTCAACAGGGCGAGGAGGTGGAGCGGTGAGCTTTTCCCGAGAGTGACGTGTGATTGGATTCCAAGCGGTAAATCCAAGACGGAGACATGTCGAGACGGCATCCAGGTCGGCTCGACGTAGTATCAGCTGATATCAACCGCCGGGCGTAAACGTGGCGAGGAAGAGGGGACGATAGCCGAAGCAAGAGCAATAAAGTCGGAACAAGTAGGAGGAAGAAGAGGGTGAGAGGCCGAGGCGCAAAATGGGAGCAACGAGATTGCTGTTGGGAAGCGCTGTCCTCGGACTCTTTTCGAGCGGATTGTTGTTCAAGGGCGCCCTGACCAATTCGATGAACAGGTGCGACTACCCTCCGTGCTCCTGCGATCCTCACGGCAGGCTGACCTGCGACTGTAAAGAGGAAGGAGAGGTATGTTGTTCACCGTTAGACACCTAGCTAAGAAAAACTCTGCCTTTGTCTTCTCTAGAGCCTTTCACGGCGCGCGGCTCGATCGCTATCGTATACCGACAGAGAAACACACGTACACACAATCGACACGGCGAGGAGATATCGTGAAAGGAAATAAAACCGAAAGGAAACGTACGGGACGAGCGAGCGAAGTTTTACGCAGCCCGTTCTAAATCTCGGCGAGCAACGATCGCAACCCTCCGAGAGAAGAAAGAAACTTCTATATCTCCCCTACCCCTTAAACGCGAAATAGCCCGTCGCGTTTTAACTTGCCTACTTTCGTTTCGTGTCCCCTTGGCCCAGGAGACCAAAGGCCAATCATCGTCTCGAATCTTTCTCTCCGTCACCATCTTCCAATCCCTTTCCCACCGAATTCGTCGAGAGGATCCTCGAGAGTCGCGGCCCACCGGTCGTTTCTATCTCGCGACAAATCACGGACAACGCGGCGACCAACAGAAGACGGTCTTTTGTTCGTGGTTGGCGTTATTCCGATAGCGAACAGAGGTAGAGAGAACGAGAGAAAGAGAGAAGAAGATAAAGGCCTAAATCGAGTTTGCACGCAACCGAGGGAGAGAGAGACGCCGCTTTCCACCCTTTCGGGGTGTTCGAGACACGAGACTTTTTAACGAACGAATTACATGCGGGACGGTCGTTATCGCGGGCCGGAACACCGGAGTTACGTGCGATCCGATCGTCGTTCCATCATCGCGTCGATTTTACCACGGGGCCACCCCTCCGGTTAAAAGCGTGGCGAACTCCCCCCCCAAGAAGAAATATAAAGCATGCTGCAACTAGGGGTTGTCAAAATAAAAGCGGAAGACAGGGGCGAAAGAGAATGAATGAATGAAAGAAAGAAAGAAAGAAAGAAAGAGAGAGAGAGAGAGAAAGAGGTTAATCTTGAAGGCGCGTAGGGGGTTCCCGCGTAAATTGCGAGGGCGGTGCGGTCGGCTCACGCAGAGCGAAAACCTCCATAAATTAAAGCGTGTTTACGCAAATCGCAGGCCAGACACTGCTGGCAGGTAGGTAAGGTGCATGGCCTCTTCCCACCTGCCTATCCAACCCTCTCCCCCCTATCCCTCGTCCTCGCCCTTCTTCCCCGATATTTATTACACGGGACTGATACAGGTAAAACAGCCCCCGCCGCCTCAGGGAAAAATACTGCGCGCTGAGAAAAATAGCAGCCGCCCCTGACGGATCGTGGTCACGTGAAGATCCATCATCCACGCTTCTTCCCTCTACCCTGATCTGTTCTTCTTCTCTCCTTTTCGGAGTTTTCTGTTTCGATAACTTTCTCCTTTTTTTTTTCTTTCAAATATTTTCAAACTCGTGAGAGAAAGTGGAACGCACCCTGTGATAGCTAAATGTCACAGTTGTACTTGTTTGAACCGAAATCTCAGTCGAAGCCGAGGTAGTTGAATCTTGTGTCGTACGAGTCGTTACCAATTGCTGGTAAAAGGAAAAATTGAGAAATTAATTTCGAATACTTGATTTCTTCGTCGCAGAGCGTGTAAAATACAGAATGACATCAAATACTCCAAATTTTAATAATCTAATAGCAGAAATTACTGTCGTCTTCTATGACGATACTATGTTAAGTCTTTCCTTCTTATCGTCTGATCCTAGCCATGTCGTACTTTTGATCGTCAATGGAAGAAATAGAGAAAGAGAAACGAAGAAAATCTTGGAAAATACCTGGAGATCTGGAGTTGGAAAAGAAACTTGCGGGACTCGAGATGACTGGATTTATAAAAAAAAAAACAACTTGCACGCACGTTATCGAGAGAAGAGGAGAGCTGTCTCAAGGCCCCGCTTCGAATCACCTATTATTACACCTACGAATTCCGGTACACAATGAAGTTTCGTTTATCGCGCGCCCTTGGAGGCATTCCGACGTCGTTGCCGAGCCAAGATAAAGCGTTCTTTGTCCCTGGAGATACAGGTCGCTACGTTTCTAAGCGACGCGAGGAATTACACCGTGCAAGAGTCCGGAGTACAATGTGGCACAGCTCGATCCGTGAAGCTCTGGTCCGTGACGAAACGTCCGCGGCAGGCAAACAGCCGGTTACGCGTCGTGAAAACCAATCGGCTCGAACGTTCCGCGAAAAAAAAAAAAGGACGACGGAAGAGTAAAATTAAACGAACGAAACGATAAATTTCGAAAAGAGAGAGAAAGAGAAAGAGAGGCGGCTCGGTGAATTTTAAATCACGAAGCGTGGACTGGATCAGACCGTTGTGCAACATTTGCATCTTACATCAAATCTCAATCCGCTGGTATTTAAAAACAGGTCTTTCGAGAGTAACGTTGCACGACACACCACTGACACCAAGCTCCAACGTGTTCTAACCTCCAGACGAACTAAATTACAGTCAGCGCACGTGTACAGCTCTACTCTGAGCTAACCTGACAATCCGGTAAATGGTAGTCAGCCAAGTAGCGATCTGAACCTGCTCGCTGTAAAATCGACCGACCGACATTTCCCGACTAGCTCCAAACGGCGGCCTATTTTTCTCAAATGTCGAACGAACACGTCGAATGTGCACATGTGCTCATCGAGAGCAAAATTTTCATTTCTCGTTTATCCAAACGAGAGTTCGCGATATCGTGGCGACCGCGAGTCGCGTAGGCGCCTCGTGTCGCGTGCGCGGATAAAGGAAGTGGTCGACCGTGGGTCGGATAAATTACGGATCGAATATCATCGGCGTCGAAGATCGCGTGGTCTCTGTCGCGTGGACTGCTACCGGATTAGACGAGGAACGGATCGACCGTTTTCCACAATCGCAAGCGCGCGCGCGCGTTCCAAGATACTTTCGATGGTGACGTTTCCCGTATAACGAGGGGCCAATTACCGAGCGAGTCTCGAGAGGTGAATTCAAATCGACTTGGACCGTTTGAATAATGAGCGAACGCAGCCGGCAGCTTTTTCGCCGGCGAAAGGGGTGATACGTTGCTCGCGGAACGACACAATATATATACCGCGAGGAAAACCTTGGCTAACAACGCAGAAGAAGAAGAAGAAGAAAAAGAAGAATGGAGGTGAAGGCGGATGGATGAAGAGGAAAAAAGAAGAAAGCAAGAGAGAGAGAGAGAGAGAGAGAGAGAGAGAGAGAGAGAGAGGCGGCAAGTTCTATAATGTACAGCGAGTTCTCCCGTGGATTTCGCATAATACAGCCAGCATTTCACGAACACGCTCAGCCAATTTGTCGCGCCGTCAACTCGTGACTACGAATATATCGAGAGAAACTGGACGTTCCTCTTTTTCTCTCATTTTCCTTTTCTCTCCTCTCGTCGTTTTCCTTTCCCTGATCTCTTCTCCAGGTCCGACCTTCGTTTCCCTGCTCCTCCTTTCCATTTCCGCCAAGCTCATTGGAGTTTCTTATTCAGACCCATTATCTGCTCCTTGGCAACGAGACGCCCCCGCCCTCCCGGTACGAGTAATACGTAAGTAAAATCATTAGGTTCGTGTAATACGTTCGGAGCCTCTGGTATTTACACGAGAGCGAACCGAGACGACACCTGAAAGAACGGCGGAGAGAAAAAAAAAAGGGAAAGGAATTCGACGATCGTTTCAGAGGCACACTCGTAGACGGTGGAGGAGTAGAACGTGTTTCCAACAATCGACGCGAACAAAGTTGTCAAGCGCGCAAGGCGACCACTGAATAATTAACGACGCGGATAAATAATCGAGTGGAACCTTTTAGCAGATACAGCCTTCAACTTGGCCGCGTTCCCCGCGTTAACGAGAGCGAAATAAGGCACCGGGGAGAACGAAAATAAAGAACCGGGGCTCTATGAGCCGTGTAAAAGTAACAGCCACGAGCAATGGACGACGAGAACGTGAGGATGCCATTTGCGAGAAGGCGGCACGGTTATGAAAATACTTGGAAAACGGAGACTCCGGGTGGCGTGGACTGCTCCCAAGTCGTCAACGAAGTCGCAGGAAAAGAAACAACCGTCCGTCAATTCACGAGAACGACGATTAACGAGTCATTGGCCTATTACTTAATCGTCGACAATACCACAACGGTTGGAAAGGAAACTATTTTTGTCGCCATGAAACGCTTCGTCCGATCGAGAGCGTGGAAAATACATTGAAAATACAATGAAGTTTCCAAAGACTGTCTTGGTATTTTTTTGATCATTGCCTTCTGGCACCTAGACGGTGTAATTTTACAAAGTTTCAAGAAATTGTCCATCATAATTTATGATAGATTTATGATAATTTATGCTGCTTGGTCCCTGGATGGATTAAATGAATAGAACAACATACGAACAGAGGAGGGCAGAGAATAATAATTCACGGAAGGAAGCTATTTCGTAAATTCTTAATAAGTCGTACACACATCTTTACGTCCGACAGCCTCTCTCTTTCTCATCTATTGTTCGATTCGAACGACTCCACGACGTGAAAATCAGAAGATTCAATCCGCCATTAGAGCGACTTTCATTTTCATCCACGTTTCATCACACACTCGTAGCAATCGGCCCCTTGCCAGATATCATTTCATTAACGTCCCTGACGCGTCTCTCTAATCGATGCTCGCAGCCGATGTGCTTTCTAATTAAAATTACACCGAACGTGGTTTCGTCGGGCCGGGACAACACTCGAGGGACAACACGTGCCATTAAACGATGCTCGTTCTTTTTTTTTTTTTTTTTTTTCAATTCACCGAACGTGACAAGCGATACGCTACGGATTAATTGGGAGAAAATGTATGTTTCAGCTCTACTTCCAATCAGGGATCACCGTCGATCCGTGTAATCGAGGAACCAGGAACCCTCGACGCGAACTTTGTGCCTCATTTTGATACGCGAGAACGTATCTGGAGGATGCGAGAAAGCATCACGTACGCGCTCGATAAAATTACACGCGACGGGGGAGATACGCGCGGAGGATTCGAGCCGAGAGAATAAAGAGCAGCCGTTGAAACAAGAACGTCTTGGGTACCTACCTCTGTTTCTCACGGGGGGGAACAAAGCTTTATTAGGAAAATAAAATTCAGACTCTCGTGTGGAGTCACTTGCATTTAAACGTGAAACGATTCAATCTACGATATCGAAAAATTTGCCATCTTCTCTCGATAGTTTCGTTCAAGGTAAAATTGCTACACAATTGTACGTTAGAAAGCGAAGAATATTCGAACAAAAACCCCTGTTCGCACGTAGCCCATCGTACGCGTTTGAAAAGTCGGGCAACGAACGACGAAATCGTGGTAAAAAAAAAAAAAAAAGGAAAAAGAAGAGAGAGAGAGAGAGAGAGAGGCGATCTCTCTGCCTCTCTCGCGGTGTGTGACGGACGGCGAGCAAACACCGAGAGACGGAAGCGAAAACGTTGGCTGGACGTTGTGAGCGCGTAATTGTTCGAACGTGAAAAACGAGCTGCAGCCCGCGAAGACAAGTATTTCGGCCGCGGTAATCTTTTCTATGGCCGGAGATTGTGTGTCGAGAATTGACCAAGAACAATGAGAGGGGAACAAAGGTCGGATGGACAGGCAGGAAGGGACGCGAGGGGGGCAGATTGCGAGAGACGCGAGCGAGTTTCGTATCACGCGTGTTTCGTACCTGAGGAAAAAGAGGGGGCACAAAGGTTTCGCTTTTATCAACGACGTGAGTCCAGGCCCTTCTTTTACTTTCATCCGCTTCGCGCCCTCCTTTTTTCACTCCCATTCATCGCCAACGCTAGACCTTCTTCTTCTTTCAACGCCCTGTGTTTCGTGACCGACCTCCAAACTCCGCTGAATAATGCACGTCCTCCGTTCGCTCGTGTTTTAATAACCCCCTTTCTTTTTTTCTTTTTTTTTTTTTTTTTTTTTTTGGAAAATATGTCGCTTCATCAAAGTTCCAGATAGTTTTACCCATGACTGGTATTATTGGGCATTATTGGGAACCAGGGCGTAGTTTCGTTGAGCTTTAACGATTAATTAATTCGATCTCACTTTACATTTCGTACTTTCGCGAAATTAACGAAAAATCCAGGCAAACTGTGTTTCACATATTTCTATACATAAAAAATAACCGCAGTATCTATCAACCTCCGTCGGGTGATTAACGACGATTAAAATCATTACACGTCAAATCCATGTGTAACGTGGAATTGAGTTCTTTTTTCTTCTGTTTCTTTTTTCCGCTCCAAAATTTCAAATGAAATTGTACCGAAGCCAGATAGTTTATTCGTTTATCTATCTACAGAGATTCCTACCGAGTCGTACACGACGCGAGGAACAATCTCGATGAATCATCAGAGACGATCGACAACGCGAACGCGCAATGTTTTCCACGAACGATTGTTTATCAGGTACTCGTTACCAGGGTAAACGCGATAATCTCACGAACCAAGTCGGCGTGTGCGAACGATATCTCGATCAGTTGCAATATCTCGATCGTTTGGTCGACACGGCGAGTATGAGCGTGGCATTTCGCCATCGATTGTTTAACAAACAAGGAGCCGTAAAGCGGCAGGTGGTATCGAACGCGCCTCGGCAGTTCGCGGTAACTCTGTGACGTGTTCCAACGAGCCGCGCACAAATGAATTAATTAAAAAAAAAGGAAAACGGAAGGGGGAGGGGGGGAGGAATGGATGAGCAACTGGTTGCAAAATGACGTGTCTGAACGAACAAGGCTGTTTATCTGTCGAAGAACTTGCACCATCCCTTTCCTCTTTCCCATCGAGGCGCGCAACGCTTGCCTTGGCGTGCTTCTGACAAGTTGTACGTGTCCTCCGCGAGAGAATCTTTTCAACGCCGGAAGAACTACTATCCATACTTTTACCATAAGAATTTTATAGAATCACGACGGCGGAGTTTTCGAAAATTTGCCCGACATTTCGTAAAGATTCTCGTTCCGTTCGCGACTGTGAATTTTCATTTCCCTGACAAGAGTTTCGTACACTCGGGTGGTCGATAGCTCTGTCGTCGAGAATGGAGAAAATTATCGATGCGAATCGAGAGATACGGAACCGCTCCGCTTCACCGGCTGTCATAAATTGTCAGTGCACGTTTCGCGTGCCGGGCTGAAATTTCTAGAAAATTTAAAAGTGCAAAATCGCGGACGATGCACATCGTATGGAAAAATATTCAAAGCACAGCGATTTTTACACAAAAATGTAAACGAATTTCCAACCGCGGTCGTATGTTTTTTTTTTTTTTTTCTTTCACTATATTCTCTTCAAACACGTGAATTCGTACATAAAAATTTACGTCCGCGATTTATTCACGATCCTGCAATACGATTCAATCGGATCGATCTTTTTCGAGATTCTCTGGGTTGACTTTGCAACCATTGATTCTATCTTATTCTTTTCCTCGATTTTAACGTATTAATTACTAATAACTAAATAAATGTGCGAGAATGTAGCGTCAAATAGAAAGAACGTGCGATGATTGAACGAGAAAACGTGGAAAACGTTCGAGTCTCTGTAATTGGAGGAAATTTTCATCGCGAGACGTTCAGCCGGTGAAAATGAAATGGGAAAACCTCGGTGAGCTACGGAGAAGTTAAGCCCGCGGCCCACGATAACGATATTGGTTAATCGCCAAGGGCGCGCGACAACGCGCGTGTTCCCAACGATTAGGGCAGTTAGACGTCCAATTACAGCTATTCGAGCTCTTATTAACGGCACGCGTCTGGTGGCATCGGATCGGGCTAGCTCGCGCCTTTTGCTCCGTCATTTTCCTGATTTCCACGTCCGACTTTACCAATTTGAGAAACTCGCTAATTACAGAGATCGAGAGAACTTTCCGAGAGATCAGCGGAATAAATAAAAATCCGCGGTAACTGTACCGAAACGACCGAACCCTCACCGATTGATTAACCGCCTCGATTTCGTCTGATTTCAGGAGCTGGTGTTAACCACCGACGGCGACAAAAGATTGAGCCCGCACACCAGCAGGATAGCGGTGAGCAACTGCTCGTCCGTGATACTGATGAACTCGAGCCTGGCCTCGATGGCGGGTCTGCGCGCGGTGGATCTGATCAACGTGGCGAACCTGAGCCTAGTCAGACAGAGCTTCGAGCTCTCGCCGCAGAACACACGGACGCGTATATCGGTGAGAAACTGCAGCATCGACACGATGCCGAGTTTCGTGTTCCGCGGTGACGTCGAGGCGATCATCTTCGAGAACGTGAGGATCGGCCAGCTGAGCGCGTTCTCGTTCGCGAACCTGGTGCACACGGAGAAACTCAGGCTGGAGAACTGTCGGATCGAGAACATCGAGGCCCAGGCGTTCAAGAAGTTCGACGTCGGTCACTTGCGCGTGATCGGCAGCAGCTTCGGTGACCAGGTGCCCAGCAGGACGATGAACGACATCGAGGTTTACCACACGTTCATGCTGGACGGCGTGCGAATGGGCACAGTGAGAAGTGAGGCCTTCATCGTGAGGAGTCCGCGGACAGTGGCGATACAGAACTGCGTGGTGGAGAGTTTGGAGAGCGAGGCGTTCGACGTGACGGCGAGGGGGCCGGTGATCGTGAAGAACAACACGTTCGGCAGCCTCTCGATTGGCGCTTTCCTCGGGATACGAGCGGATCCCGAGGCGAGGACAGCGCCTGCCTCACTGCCGACCAACCTACACGACCTTATCTTTAAGAATAACAGCGTGGTGAACTTCGAGGAGGGCTCGATGATGTTCGACCGCGGTAGCTTTCGTTTGGAGCTCGACAGCCTGCTGGTCGACCAGCCGTGCGACTGTCAGATGTTGCCCGTATGGAAGAACAACATTCTCAATTACACCAACGTTTACTCGAGGTTTTACACCAAACAGAACGCCGGGCTGCCGCCCACGTTGCCGCCGCAGGACAACACGATCAACGAAACGCCGGAGACGTTCCTCTGCTCCGAGGGCGAGGTGAGCGGCGTGCCAACGAGCTTCGTCGAGTACGAGACGCGGCATTGCTCGCTCGGTGGATCGATACTGGTCTTCGTCGTGATCATCGCGGGTTTGCTCGCGTCTTTGATACTGCTCATCTGCCTGATCGTCTGGTGCTGCAGGAGGCGTCGCCGAAACAGCAGGAAGAAATGGATCAGCGTGCCGATGAACGCGCCTGACGTCGTGTCGAAGAAGAACGGGGTGATCGGCAGAGAGGCCGCGTCGTCGGCCGCGCCGGTCGACAGCCGGATAACGATGGTCGTGCCCGACGGCAGGCTCTACAGGGAGACCGAGTTCCACGTGATCGTGGAGAAGGCCGAACCGTTGACAACCGAGTTGTAACGAGAACCTTCGTACGGCTCGACGACGAGGGCCGTGGTAGCTCGAGTCGAGGAAGAACTCGAGTGGTCCGAGACCTCGAGCCGTTTCCGCGTGTACAAGCTGTGAAAGAGGGGAACAAAGGACGAAAGCCGCGCACGAGAGACGTAGAATTTTGAACCGGTGAACTCGACACTTTGACCATGTGTGACGAACACGTACGCCGGTGTTAACTTGTGTGTATTAACGCGCGTGCATAGTGAACGTGATTGTCGATCACGTTCCAGGACCAGAGAGCGGAATAAAAAAAGAAAAAGCACTTCCAACCGAAAAACTCTTCGAACACCGTGACTGTGTGTGTACGCTTCGAAGTACTCTGCAAAGGAACGTTCCGCCGAGAAATTTTTCACGTACCATTTTATCGATTAAGCGGCCGTTGCGTGTTGGAAACTTGGAAAAATAGAGAAAAATAGGAGACTCGAACTGAAATCTCCCTTGTTTTCAATTTAATCGACTATTCCTTCTAGTACAAGGCAGTTCGTAAGCTTCCGTAATTTACATATCACGAACGAGCGGCGATTATCCAACGCGTTTTCAACCCGGGCTTCTGACTCTACTTTTTTTTCTTTTTTTCTTCTTTTTTCTTTTTCTCTCCCGTCGTTTTCCGTTCTCGTCCGCCTTTGAAGGCAGTCACGTTCCTTCTTCGACGATAATTAAGAGTTTCTCCTCTGTTCCGCGATCGAGGGGTCGCGTGCATGGATAATCGGCGCGTCGTTGTTAGTTAAGTTCATCGCGTTGAGTAGAACGAGAGCCAAAAGAGAGTGTCGTTTCACGCAGATTAGAACCGAGAGTTTCGATACACGCGCGAGCAAAAGGCAGAAAGAGAGAGAGAGAGTGAGAGTGAGAGAGAGAGAACGAGCGAGACGTCAGAAACTGTGAGACGAGAGAAGAAGAGCACAGGAGAGGGAGTGATCGAATGCAACAACAGGAAAAGATCCTAAACTCGTTTACTCGTGTAAGACACGCGATTGGATCGACCTTTCGTACTTCGTCGCGTTTAAGTTTATCAATCGATAAGAGCATTACGTAGCTTTACGCCGACGAAACGTCGAGAGAAGATCGTGCTGCCTTCACTCGGAAGAACAGTACCATTCTTGCACAGATGTCAGTTTCGTGCGACCCTCGAACCGGAGGAAGGAAGAAACAGAAAGGTAGCTGAAATATCCGTCAGTTCTCGCAAGCGAGAATCGAAATTGTCTCGCTCTTCCAAACCGAAGATCGTTGTATCTAATCTACTTCGATTCCAATTGCGTTTCTAATCGCAATTATGCTTGTAACACAATAAAAGATATTACCTGACACCCCTTGACAATACGAGATGATGAATCGACATATGCAATTATATCTGAAATTACTATAGTAAGCGCGGAGAGAAATGAGGCGATGATGATCTTACGGTCAAACGTTCGTAGAGACTTGACGAAATGTTGCGCTAAGAGTTAACCGAGAAACTTTTCTCATGTTCCGTTTCGAAACATTTCGTGTCAACGGAAAGACTCGAAGAGAACTTCTCGCAACAGAAAGTGTTCAAAAACCCTCAACCTTCCACCGTCCCCTCCTCCCGTCAATCCCGATCCGTGCGACCCGAGTCGTTAATTTATTGTATTATTTCACTGCGACATGCTTTATTTATGAGCTTTTGGACTTGAGCCCAATAAATTGTTGTTGTTGTTGTTATCACTGCGATCGGTATCTAATTTTGATAAATGCGCAGCGAGGGATGCTCTCGGCGATGGGTAATCGATCCGCCACGAGGGAAACACGGCGAGGGAGTTGGCGCGTTTACGAATTCGCCTGCTAATCTTGCAAACCGAGCGGGGACCGAGCCCCTGACTAATGCGGGCGCACACGTTCTACGTAAAACCGCAGCCGTCTGCCGCGCTCAAGTATCGCTACGCTATGCGCTTTCCGTGTGCTGCCGCTTCCATCCAATGTGATTAATAGACCCGATATAATTCGCCCTCCTCTCTGTTTCATCAAGGTAAGCATCAGGTGGCATTTAACTCGTCGAACGAACCGACGCGACGGTGAAAGGAGACCTTCGGAATTCAAGAAACGAGGAAATATCGCCGACGTGTGGATACCTACTACCGATCACCGGTGAACGGAACGACGACTCGTTCGTTCGACGTTAGAACCGACCGAAACACGTTTCACGTTTCGAGGCACAATACCGAGGAAAGCGAAGCTTTTGAACGTCACCATACGGAGCTATCTCGCGCACGTGTTAGCCATGCATTATTGATACACCGCCGCCGTATATGTAACGACCCTCGCGGGGCGTTTGTTTCCTCTTATCTCGTCGAACATCGAAACAGAAATTCGCCCCTTTCCTCCTCGAGTTTCTTCAGATTATTCAGCGACCTTACGCCCGTCGTTACCTTGAGCATCATCTCGTCGAACACAAGGCCCAATTAGAATCCGAACGCGAAAAGTGGCACGAGTCGAACGAAGGCTAGACTCTTATCCTACCAATTCCCCCATACGTACAGATCCACCAGCTATCACGCGCACGTGCGAGTATGTACATGGACAATTATCGTGCTTCGACGACAAATTAAGGTTTTTCTTTTCTAAGGACGTTTTAGTTGTAATTATCGTGAGACTGTGATATAACGACAGCCGATTGTATAATTTGTTTTACATTGAAAAGGGACGTCGTACGCCATTGACAACAAGGAGATAATAAAGATGAAGTTGATGCATACGTATTACTACACAACCAATTTGATTCCTGATATATATTCCTGCCTCGACATACCGCTTCTTTTTTTCTTTTGTAAAAGTGCGAGTCCGCACGTAGCACGTTCATGAAGAAGTGTACGACACATGGTTGCCAGTCATCGGTTATTTTCAGTTGCTCGCGTAAAAACGTAAAAACGCGAAAGCCACCGCGCGTCTATTTATTCTTCCGCGGCATAATGGCGTCGATTCATATACCGCGATTTCAATAAAGCGATTATAACCGAAGGTGATGATTCATTTTTTATGAATCCGTCAGATTCGCTGTTTGACCAGCTCGTTCCGATAGAGCTAACGTCAAAGAGGAAACAACACAATAAACGAAAATTTTCTATTGTATCAACCTGACAAAAGGATTATATTTGATTTTGTTGCGTTCTTTTTGAGTATTATACGAACGTTATAATAAAGAAAGTATTATTCCTTTTTGACGTCAGTGCTTTACTAATTGGTTAGCAAACAATAAATTACTGTGATTTAGCACTTACCTGAATGGAAGAATACCGTCGAGAGCCTGGGAGACCGTAGGAGGTGAAGCTAGAGCGAATCCTCGTCCAAGCAACGTCGAGTGTACGGAGAAAATCCTCTTTGCAGTTTCTTGCATCAGCTCCAAATCCTCTTCCACTTCTTCGTCTGAAAAGGTACAGTCCTCTTCGTCAGAATTCATTAAGTAACAAAACAGTTGTCAAATACAAATAAATGTTTCAAACTACGTATATACATATGACACAGGCAAGCATTAATTCTGGATTAGAAGAAAAGAGATATTGTTGAAATTAAGTAAGTACTAGTAAGTAATACGTACTCGATACAGGCGGTAACGCAAGGTTTCTCTTCATGAGACTTGCGGCACAGGCTCCACCAAGGAATGACAATTCAATTTCCAGATTTCTTAAACCATTCCCCACTGTCAGCCAATCGTATCCAATAACGAGACATTTAAATCCGTATGTAATTGCTCTATCGTTTCTCATGTAATCGGAAGCGGTTTCTAACGAAAATATAACTTCATTTCCTAAACAATGAATAAATCAGTTAATATTGCGAGACAACACGCAACTGAAATTATTCTGTAAAATGACGACTCACCTGGCAATACGATCGCGTTTTGAGGCCACTGACTTGGTACATTACTCAATTTACGCAAGACAGGCCACCGTAAGGGTGTATCTTCAAGGGTGCGTATTCTAAAAATATATCAGGATACATGGTATATGTTACGCGGTTTTTCGCTGTAAAGTGTTTGCACAATACGAATTAATAATTACACTTACCCTCTAAGAGGAGAGATTACACTTGGAATGTACAGTTGTAAATAATCCTCTGGCTGAGCTGTGCCACATTCTGGTGTGAATTCAATGGATAACCACTTGACCGTGTCTGGAAAAGTGACTCTATAGTGGGATACTGTAGCAGGTTTATAAGGATGATCGCTTTCCAACCAGGTGTAATGATGACTAGTAGTAGTGGGTGTAGAAACGTGAGATTGAAGTTCACTGTCTTGAGATATTTCAGACGATCCCATTGTGGATAATAAATTAAGTGCCGCAACATGGGGTAATGTTTCTTGAATTAAAGTAAGAATTTGCACTCCGCTCTACAACAAAAAAAGAAAAAGAAAAAGAAATAATTAAATAAAATACTATATTAATCGTAATAATATATTGATCGTAAAATATATAAGATTGTTGGTCTTTACCCTGGGATCTGATGTAGCTAAAGGACTAATATGCGCCATAACCAATGGTAAAAGAGTCGTCACAAACGGCGCACTTCCAAGAACTTCGGTGGTTACTACTTCTTCTGCTTTTTCTCTGGCTAATGCGAAAATTTCGTTTGATCTTTGAATAATCGTAGTTGTCATTGCAAGAGCACATTTTTTTGCTTGCACCTCAGCCATCGCTTTACTTGTATGCTGACCATCAGAGTCTTGGGGATTTGAATAATAGAGAATGTGCGGTATTTGACCCCTGGTTTGAGTCGTACCTGAGAAAATAATGTATATATATTATCGTTATTGTTTAAATAATATTTCCTATGTAATAACGCACCATTAAAACTTAAAGAGCAAGCCGTGAAAGTAAACGTAGTTCCGTCAGGTCCTTTAACGACGCTTAAACCACCATCGCCATTACTTGTGCGTCCTCCACGATTCCTCAGTCTAATAGCGTACTTTACATTTTCCTTAATGGGCACAGGTTTATCAAATTTTAATTCTACTATGTCGTTAACGCAGTCATCTGGCCCGAAAGAACCTCGTGTAAAATCCAAACTACTCCAACGTTGAGTGTGAGATGGATCGTTGCCCGTGTTATTTTGCTACAAAATGTACGACACGATTGTGTTTACGACAATGAAACAATTACTTTCATTGCAAAAATTTAAAATAAATACTCACATCGTCGAGTAACTCCAACTCATAGTCATACATTCCAACACCTCCATAAATACCCACACCAGCGATCACAATACCAGATCTATCGACTGAAAAACAAATTGCGTCTGGGGAGCCGTTACCGGTATTCCACGATCTTGTTTGATTTACTCGCGTAAATCTCGAAGGTGTAGTATACATAAGTCTGCCACAGGCGGCCTGAAGTTCATCCTCGTTCCCACTAGATTGTGCCGCTAATTCAGCAACCACGCGCGCTAACAAATACGAACAATAAAGTACCAATTCCAACCGTGACTGAGTCTTTTTTCTACAAAGACTTTTCTTCACAGGGACTAGAATCAAATCTAACAGTCTTTCAAGCACGTCACGAAACGACCAGTTTAAAATCTCCTTGCCAGAACTTTCCACTTGAGATTTGTAACTAATTTGTTCGACTAAAATTGGATATTGATGACTTTCTGTTGAATTTATCATCAGTAAGCCCGTATTATCGGATGGACTGAGTTGCCGTTTTATACTATCAGTACTATCCATGATGTTATTTAGAATTGGAAATGTACATCGAAGACGAATAGTAGGACAGCACAGAGCAGCTAGAACAGCCGATAACAATCGATCTTTCGCAGATTCTCCCTGTTCCTGTAAAATACCACGAGTTGTTTTAAAAAAAATCCTCCAGCCAATAAAATTATGAGATACATACTCTGTCGATTTCTGACAGCAGCTCGCATAGACATGTCCATTTTAAATACGCTGTTGGATAAAATGCGTGATAGCAGGATACAAATGTTATATGGCATTCATCTAATATGCTATTTGTCATCTTGCTATTTACGACATTAGGACCTACAGAGATTATTATATTATAAAGATGAAAAGCAATATTTAAAATAAAGGACTATATTGCAAGCTTACTTTTGGTTGGTCGTGTTTTGCCTTTGCTTTTCGTATTTAACGGTACAGTATCGGATAAAATTTGATGTAACAATGCACGTACTTCACCGATGCATTCTGCTAACCGTACTGATTCAGCGGGAGTTTTTTTCCCCGCTATAAATCATTGATATTATTTAAATACAATATTTAATACAATTTAATATTTGATGTGCAATACGCTACATACCTTGATTAGGATAAATTTCATTAGTATAGATCCTAAGTAGTCGTAAACTAGCTCTACTAATGTAAATTAAACGTTCCACTTCAAATAATGCCTGAGTAGAAGTGGCATCATTTAACGTTGCTTTTAATGTATTCCAACTCCATTGAAGGAGAGATATTAATGATTGGAAACATTCCTAAAAGAAGAAAAAAAAAACATTTTTATTTATATTATTTTACATTTGATGTGAGAAGTAGATACGTACTTTGGTGACTGTTCTGCTGAATTCTCTTTTTAGGACATAAACTGGCTCAATTCGATCTCTTTGCCTATTAGAAGTTTGATTTTCGGGTGTAACAATTCGATATAATAATTGTGGTATTTGTCCGGCATTTACATCGGATCCATTATTGGATCTCTTCGAGGATTTAAAATAAAACATAACTCTAATGAAAAAGGAAAAAATTAGTATATCGCAAATCATAATACACTTTTTGAGTAAAAAAATTGATTTTACTAACTGGTCTTCTGCAGTGACCATTCCTTGACCACCAGAACCACAGTCGCTAGAAGGTCCACTAATTTTAGCCCATGCAACATACCACCTATTTGCTTGTAAAGGAATTGGTTCATAAAATAAAATAGAATATTTTTGTCTCGGTCCACATTCGTATGGTATTTCTTCAGATTCTGCTAGAAGTTCGCCATCATTTTCTTGATCTCCTCCATCCATTCCAATATCAAAGAGCTAAAATGTTATTTGATATAATTTTTAGCATAATATCACATAATTCATGATATGTATAATAAATAATACCCACTTTTATTTTTGCAGTGTATTCTCCCCGACCTCCAAACAATCCATATCCTCCTAATAAAATATCAGTGTCGGGCATAAATCTAATAGCCTCGATAGAATGTGCGGAATATCCCCAACCACCACCATGACCTAAAAATATACAGAATATATAGTATGAAAATATTTGAAAATTATTTTTACTGATCTTTTTTATACGCACTTTCAAATCTGTTGACTGTAACAAAATCTTCACGACTATATACTTTTCCATGTGTTGATTGATTACATTCATTCTCTTCTATTATAGTCAAATTTTCATTTTGTGCTTGTGCAAGAGTATCCAGACAACCCAATAAATGCATTGCAGCTTGAGAACGTGTTACAAAACAATTTGATACTACTGGTAATGCTAAGCCTGGACTCAAAATGGATGCTTCTAATCCAGGAATTAGTCTAGCTTCCGTTGATATAATATTATACAAACTTATTTCACTAGTTGTAGGGTTAAAAGTCCAAATGACATTATACAAAGGATCTAAACATGTCGCACAATTACTGAAATCAACTTGATCTGGTCCACTATAACTGTTACAAGTACCATCTCTTTTACTTATAACTAAACATTTGAAAGAATTTGCGTGATCAGTTTGATGTGGAATTAAAACTGAAACAAGTTTTTTTTTTATGTAATTAGATGTGTCTGGTAATATGATAATAGCGGAAGTATAATTTACAAAAGAGGACATACTTATGCAATTTTTATTTGCCATAACTGTACTTCTTGTTAAACTAATAGAATTTATTTCATCAATTTTGATGTAAGTTTGATCTCCACTTGCACCAATCCATGTTGCTCTTCTACCCCATTGAGGACCAATATTTGGAACTACATTTGGATAACTATGCCGGGGCTGTGTTCTATCAGAACGACGACTAACTTGCGGAGAAGAATTTGAGAGTTCATTTTGTCCATTCCACCAATTTATACCCAATTGTCCTTTCTGTATATAAAATATGTATATATCAAAATGTTTTTTCTTTTATTATTATGGACAATAGAATTTGATACAAACTTGATAAGCTCCAAATGTGAACACTTCCCCCTTTGATGTAAGTACGACAGTATGATTGCTTCCAGCAGCAACTTGTATTGCAATCCCTGATAATTTAACGTGAACTGCTCCACCATGTGCTACCAAATCTCCTACACCTAACTGACCGTATATGTTGCTACCGAACGTATAAACTTCCCCATTTTGTAAAAGTACCACTGCATATAACACAATATAATTGTTAAACTTCATTCTATAAACTTACTGAAAGAATATAAAATATATTTTTCAGTATTACCTGTATGATGCAAACCACACGATACTTGAACCACAGGACTTTCACTAGGTATAGGAACTCTAGCCGGTGGTATACTAGCAATTCTTGTAGCATCGCCTCGTTCAATATCACTTCCACCAATACCTTCCTCATTTATTAAATTAGTACTTAATCCTAATGCCATTTTTCCAGCAATTTTTTGTATCACACTTGGCCCAGCTATTTTATATAAAATTTATTGTTTTATTAGCCATTACAATTTAACTTAATTTTAAAATATATTCAATATATCTATTTTATATAGACATCTACCCAATCTTTGATTATTCGGACCTTTCATCTTCATTCCATATTTTGCAGTACTCGGACCTGCCTTCGTTCTCTGTTTCTGCTTTATTTCCCCCAGGCATCTCTGCAAATACTCCCGAAAATTTGAACTTGATCTACCTAAAATGCGACATCAATAATTTACAGAAATATTCAATTAATATTAATTTACTAATTTGAAATCAAAGATTTTTACCATTAGCGCAACTTTTCCTTGCGCAAGTACGACAACATCCACATTCCGCGCATCCACTATCCCCTTCACCACATCCACATTCCCTAAAAATACAGACTTTAATTTCTTATGTTATGTATATGATTCGATATACATACTGGCCTGGATTTCGATCTGGGCGTATACTGCTCAAGCACGATATACTGTAACCAGTGCATTCTCGGCATACTGTGCAAACCATGCAAACACGATGCCTCCATTGATGTAAACCTGGCGGACACATTCCTCTTGTTTCTTCCCAATCTTCAGTAGATTCCATGCCATCTAAATATATATAAAAGTATTAACTTTTTTTTTTATTAAAAAACGTTACAATTATATCATGTATAATTACCTTCTTCAGTTACTAAAAATTCTTCCTCTGCTGTACCTATCTCTACAGCAACCGAAGAGACATCTTTATTTATTGAATTATGAATTGTATTAAAATCTCTACCACATTGTCCTTTATTGTTAATTCCAAATGTGTATAAATGTCCTTTGTTAGTTAATGCCGCAGCATGAGCTTTGCCTAATGAAACGTGAACAACACAAACATCTCTGAGATCAGTAACTACTCCCGAAACTGGATCACTGTGCAAGGTATCTTTGCCAAACATCAGTAAAGAACCTTCCTTTGTAACTAATGCTGTTGATCCATTATTACAAGCAGCATTCACAATAAACTGTCCTTCTACTTTTGCTATCTTTTTTGGTTTAACTGGCTTAGGTTGTCGCCTAACTTTATCTAAGAATAAAAAATATATGAAGACATACTACATATATTATACATATTATAAATTTTACATTAATTAATAATATATTTACTATTATCACCATCTTCTCCGCGTCTGGCAGTACCAGCAAATAAAACTGAACCATCTTCCATAACCATTACGACATGTTGACCATCGTGACCAACTGCAAAATTTACAAGTCTTGGTCCTTTCCCAAGTGTTAGCTCTATCCATCTATTAGGCCTTGTGTTACTTTTCATACCAAGAGAAGTTCCTTTTCCACTGTACAGAACCTTCAAGAATACGATATGTATATTTCACATTTCTATATAATTTTTGAGGAACTAAAAAATTATAGTATGTTGCGTACTTTTCCAGATACAGTTTTTAATAATGCAAATTCTTTTCCTGCAGCAACTGTAGCTATTTCATCATCACAGCCTGGATTTAATGTATGAGTTGTTTGTTCTTCATCAAAAGCGGCATATCCAAAAACATCTACACATTTTCTTGCTAATTTTAACGGTAATTCTGATGCGACTGTTACTGGATTACTTAATGTATTTATTGTTCTGACTACAAAACCATCCTGTTAAAATTAATGACATAAAATTTATATATTTTTTTTAAATAATATAAATTTTTTAACTAGATCGAAAACAAAAACTAACGTCTTTTCCGGCAGTTATCATTCCTAAGCATTCGCCATCAGAAAACATAACAGAGGATGACCAATCACGACCTTCTAAAACAGCAATCTCCGTAACTGAAAGGGTTTCTGCATCAATAATTAGTAACTCGCTCTGTTTTCTCGGTGTATATTTAAAGTACAGCGTGTTCTAAAAAAAGTTAATTGTTAGGTATTAATATACATATAGTTGCACGTTACAAAACTAGTACTTAATTAAACTAACATTTGCATAACCAAGCCAACCCGTTTCTGTTGGATAAAAGTCCGCCTTATGAACGTACACATGACCCCAAATAGTTCCTCCATGTCCATTACCAATCTTCAATAATCCTCTACTTGTATGCAGATACAGGTACTTTCCATCACTCACAAAACTTCGTCCATTGAGTATTATATTATTTATCTCATTTGGTAACTTAAGCGTACAAGTATAAATCTTAGCACATTTAGGAACTCCATATGTAATCCAGTCTGGCCGTGCAAGTTTTCCAAGTAAAACGGCTTGTACACTTCTTTGTAAGGATGTTAATACACATGGCATCTGTAACATATAAATTGCAATCTGCAGTCTTAGAAAAGTATGCTGTAATACTATGAATTTGTAAAAGAATTTACTTGAATATTTTGAATTGCTAATGCTCTTGGACACATTAGTAAAGCCGCTATTGCTGCCAATAAACGACCGGTATCGCCTCTAACAACCACAAGACTCAATAAACAAGCACAAGCAACTGCAGTCAAATGACTGCCATCATTAGCAGCTGCTGACTCTGGGCCATGTGAAGTTGCAAGATCCAATAATAGATCAAAAAGTGGATCTATGAAAAAAAAAATAAAAATATTTAATATTTACCATAAAACAATAAGTATTTATATGCACATAATTTTTATGCATTACCAATAACATCATCTGGTTCAGATTTCAGGCCTTCCGGAAGTTGTCCTTGTAATACATCCAATAAAGCTGACAATGTTTTTGTACACAAAGCAGGTTCAATTGTTCTACTCTCTCTCATTAATGTAAAAACACTTCGTAAACCAATACCTACAATCTAAATATACTTAACCTTGTATATAATTCTGTCAATGTACATAATGTATAACTTTGAAGATTACCTTTGGTAAGCTCTGTATAGTTGATATTCTGTCTTCATCATCACTCTCTGTATCAATAGTTTCACTATGCTCTGGTGATGGTGGAGAATTACAATTTGATGCTCTATAAACTTCAGTTGATTTAATAAATCTCTCCAAAATAACATTTCTAACGCTAGCAAATACAGCAAATGCAGAAGCATTGCAGGATATTTGTATTTCTGGTGGATTATTGTAATTTACATCACTGCTCAAGTCAATCTGTAAACATTGAAGATACAGAATAATTCAAGTTAATTAATTCAAAGAAGAAAAATACCGATATAAAAAATAATTAATACCTTTTTTTTATCCCTTTTACGTACAGATTTATTTTTTTTACATTTCCTCCATTCTTCCTTATTTCTAAAAAACAAAATGTCTTGTAAATACAATATAAAATATCTTATAGATAACACTATTATTAACGACCGTCTATGACTAACATATTGACATTTATAAAGGAAAGTGTAAAAACAAACATATAAGAAAAACAAACATATAAGAAAAAAATGTTGTATCTTTATTTCTTTTAACAGACAACTATAATTGTATGTATCCGCAGATTATCATGTTAGATTAAATAAATAATTAACAATGACTAAATAATTCAAGATATCAGTTGCAAATTAATTTATAAATTAAGTTTCTACTTCGTCTGAAAAATGTCAAACTGACAACCTAACATAACATTAATAAACAAACAATTTTAGGTTATTTTACATATCTACGAAAATCATGATGTAATTTGATAATAGGGTAACATGGAATGACATATTTGGGGAAAATAATAATAGAATTATCAGAATTTTTGTCGGAATTATTGAGTTTGATAAATGACATATGAAGTCACCGCCAAAAGCGTCAAGTAAACAAAGCTGTAAGGAGGTTATATACATTTCGCACCTCTGTGCTTCAGCAATACTTCTAAAAAGGTCATAAAAGCATTTCACGTAATTCTCTGGTTCAGGTAGCAATCTTTCGTGATCTCCGGACACCATGTTGTACACAAAATTTTCAACGTACGAATCACCAATTCATTTTCGTAATACTATTGATCGTTGACATTCCCTCGCCTTCCCCATGTGATCGCATCACACTATTTATAAAAAGAGCCATTCGACGATTTCTATCAAAATATTTATTTATTGATATGTGATTTTAAATTCACATATATCAAATAATCTAATGACGTATTATTTTTGCAATATTCGAAAACAGCTAAAGATCCGCTTCTGCTGTATGTTAAGAAATTCGTCTTGAAAGTACCAGACTGACCGCGACTATTTTGCGATTTCGATTGTTCGATATACGATATCATTTTAATGCAGATTATCATTCGATATGGCGCTTATTCTTCAAATAAACTTTTACAACTCTAAATTCTACGAATAGAATTTACTGGCCAAATTTTGCATATGTTAAGATATTTATGAGTTTGTACATACTTAATACAACTTTATTATATACGCATGTAAAGTAATGTACGATGGATCTTTAAACGTTAGTTCTAAAATAAAACGTCCTTAAAACGTTTATATTCATTGTATATATGAATCCGAAATATAAAAAATAATTTATTTTACATTATTATTTTTCTCTTTTGTTTCACAAAGAATAGAATCTTTAAGATAAGTTAAATTTGATTTCGTTATTAGAAGATAAAATATACTCTTATACATGAAAAATCTATATGTTAATTGTTTTCGTCAGTATTTACGAAAGATTATATATTTATAAGCTACCTGTTATTGGATTGAAGGATTAATTATAAATGTTACATTCAAAATTTATGTTTTATAGAATTGCATTTTATAACAAGAACATTCAGCAATATATTTCTTGCAATGTAACAAAATAATATATTGATAAACGTTTTATCTTCTTGAAAATAGTTTAATTAAGTAAACGTTAAAAAGATATAATGACGTAAAAGGCTTATCTCATATATGATTTAGAATTGATCACCTCACGTAAAGTGTAGTATAGTGTGCATATCTTGTTATGCTGAGATTACTGTTTTGAAGATTATCGTGAACATAACCTAAGGAACACGATTTAAAGTGCAATTATACTTAAGTTTTATTTTATTGCAAAAGAAACGAGATGAATGTGATTTTATAAATTATTTAGTGAAACAGATAATTTATGAAAAAATTTATCACGAATTGAATAACAGAAAGAATTTAAAAATTGCACAGCTTTTTTCTATTCCGATAACAATACAACCAAATGACAGCTCTCAAGCACGTATGTAATATTTACACATACAGTTCGATAAGTTGTTTAAAAAGTTGTCATTAAAGTTTTTTTTATTTATAGGTAGACTATTTTAATAAATATATAATTATAATTGTAAGCTGATTTTTGCTTATTGCGTATCTCGATTGAAATTGCATTTATCTATGTATCTAGAAAGAATGACAAGAAAAGTCTATAAGAATATGAATAAAAATTTTAGTTAATTGTAATGAAGCAACGTGATTCTTGTGATATATTTTTAGTATGTATCATAGCAAAGCCTTGTATTTCTAAGGAAATTTAATCTTTATAGATTTATAGACAGACATGTTATAAGTATTGTTATTTTCAAAAAACAATATTGCTTTTAGTTACATTGGATATATCAGTTAATGATACACATGTCACTTGATTGTGTAAATATTACTTAGAAAATACATGTGATAGAATATCTTTAAAAGTATCATTATAAACGTGTGGGAATGGGCAATTGCTTGTGCAAAGATACGCCAGAACTTGAAATATATGATGGACATAATCATGCAGAGACTGAAAATACCATATTACCAGAATCAAGTGTAGGCACAGTTGCATCTGGTGATATGAGCACTACAACTTTTAAATTTCCAACTTCAGCAAACATTGATAAATTAGTACTTGAAACTCTCGGAGTAATTGGTTCTCTTGTTGATAAGTAAGTATTACAAATCATACAAATCCTAAGTTATTTCATATAATTATGTAACGTAATTTCATAACAATTATACACATATACACTTTACAAGTATAGGATTAGATTTATTAATTAATTAATATTATGCTCATCTAGTGAACAGGAACCACCACCTGCAATGTTAAAATTACATGCTATTGCCGATAAAGAAGATGGATGGATACAAGTTGTGAGTTCTATGGTTAATGTTATTCCTATGCATAATCCATTAGGTCCTTCAGTTATCACACTTCTATTGGATGATTGTCCATTACCATCGAAGGTATAATTCTATTATTATATATTACTTATTATATGATGATTATTGTAATTTATACTACAGATATTTTAACTCCTTAGGAATTAGTTTTGCGGTTATCACACATGTTTCAATTATCTCAAAAACTTGGAAATGTACAGACTAGTGCAACTCAACAACGTAACATTTGCGTGGTATTGGGTTGTATAGCAGAAAAGTTGGCTGGCCCAAGTAGCATTGCTATATTATCCGATGAAACATTGGACTATCTTATTTCAAACCTTGTAAGTATAATTATATGTATATGATTATAGATGTGAAATTTGTTTAAAAAAATTTGATTTATAATTTGCATATTATTTTAGAAGGAAGATATTGATCCTTATGTGGTATTATATTCATTAATAGCTTTGGAAAAATTTGCCCAAACAAGTGAGTATTAATTCCAGTAATTTCTACAAATAACAATATTCTTATTAATTTATATAATAAGAATATATTTTAAAAAGTGTAATATTATTACCAGGTGAGAATAAAATAACTATAAAGAAACGTTTAATGGCAGAAAAGCCAAATCCATTATTAGAATTAGAAAAATGGGCAACAGAAAATCATTATGTACGCCGCCAAGTAGGTTTTTGTGCACGATGGTGTTTAGATAATTTACGTAAGTATTGAAGAATTTTTATTATATGTGATACGCGTGATAGGTAATGGAGATTATACAATATAAAATATAGATATAAAGTATGTAATATATAATTATTTTATATATTAATATTAATTATTTTAACATTATAAATATGTATATTTCATTATTCTAGTTCTAATGGAAGGTAGGAAATATTCTCATGATTCAGTTGATATGACTGGTATTAATGTAATGTTAAACACGAAGGATGTAAGCGAGTACCTGAAAATATCACCTAATGGTTTAGAAGTAAGTTTTAGAAGAAATAATATAATATGTATTAAAAAATATTTATATATGATGAGATTTCTTATTATTTTTTATTGCATTTGTAGGCTCGGTGCGATGCATATTCATTTGAAAGCGTAAGATGTACATTTCAAGTAGACTCGGGAATCTGGTATTATGAAACACTTGTTATAACTACAGGCGTAATGCAAATTGGATGGGCTACAAAAGACAGCACGTTTTTGAATCACGTAAATTTTAACATTCGTAACATAATATAAACGATCACGACCCATATAAATTATTTTTGCGTATTTCGTTTTATTATTGTAGGAAGGGTATGGTATTGGTGATGATGAATATTCTTTGGCCTATGATGGTTGTCGCCGATTAATTTGGTATAATGCAAAAAGTGAGAAATATCATGATAGACCATGTTGGAAAGCTGGTGATATTTTGGGTTGTTTACTAGACTTGAATAAACTAGAAATAATATTCTCTATAAATGGTGTACCGCTAAAACCATGTGTTCAGGTTTTCAAAACAGTAAAGTATGTACATATTTATTTATGTGCTTTAATGTATTTAAATAAAACTTATCAATTAATGATCACGCTAAATATTCTAGGTCTGGATTTTTCGCAGCAGCCAGTTTTATGTCATTCCAACAATGTCTTTTTAATTTTGGGAATGTACCTTTTAAATATCCTCCTACCGATCGCGAATATCAGAAATTTAATGATTATGCTACTTTGAAGCCTGAGGATAAGGTTGTGCTTCCTAGACACATATATCTAGATCAATTGAGGAAACTTAGTGTTAGAGAGGACTCATGTACATTGTGTTTTGACCAAAGAGCTTCAGTAAGATTGCTCCCATGCAATCACAGGTATTGTATATAAATTAACTCAGTGTACTATTTTTTTTACATTGTAATTACAATGTAATTCTTAATATAAAACATATAAATTTTTCATTTATATTTCAGAGGATTCTGCCAAACGTGTTCGAATCAGCTAGTAGAGTGTCCAATGTGCAGAGCTACGATCGAAGAAGTAGCTATTGATAACACATGACACTACACAAGCGTACTGACATTTTTTAATACTCTTCCACTACCTTTCCTATATTATATAATTCTCAGGAATTATCGCGAGGTAATCACAATTACAACACATCATGTGTATCACATATTGAATATGGTTATAATATTTTATATATTTCTCTTCTTACAATACAGTATTTTAAATCAACAGAAGGACTATAAATCAATCACAGAAAGCAAAATTGCATTTAAATGTATCACACTTTTAAGATATATCATTCTGAATGTTGCATTCATATGTGTAGATATAACATACAAATTATTATATTACAAATTTAAATTACAGACAAATATCATCTTATATCTACCGGCTGTGCAAATTATTTTCTCTAGGTTTTATCTAAGTACATCTTACATCTAATTAGATGTCTAAAGTAAAATAGTGAGATAAAAATTTAAATATTTTTTTTACACTATACACATTCGAAAAAAGCAGGTAACATTTGCAATTTATATCTGAATTGCTACGAATGTTGTACATTTCCAATTTAGTGTTTGTGACTGGATCACAAATATGTAGACACTATTTTGTCTATGAACTTGAAGTTCTTTTCCGTTAAATTATAAAAGTTTGTATTATCTATATTTGTCAATATTGACAAACAAATAACTGAATTTGCGCTGTAAATGTAAGATTAATTGTAGAAAACTGTAAAATATTGATACCTTGTAGTATATATGGAAAGAACACACACATACACATATTATATTCTTGTGAAGACATAAAATGTTATCATATGTATAACTTTGCAAAATTTTTCTATAAATTCTGCTGATTTTTTTTAGAACCTCTCCTATTATTTAAAATAGTTCATTATTATTTATATATTTTAAATACGTATAAATTGTGCGTCTCTTCTATATATTTCTATTTATTAATTAAAAGGGTATCTTTACAATAATCATTCATATAATAATCAATATGATTAATAAATTTTCAGTTCACGTAATTAAGGAAATTAATAATTTTGAATATGAAACTTTTCACATTACATCGTGAATATATCTTTATATACAAGTTCGTAAATCATAATAAATGCAAAATTAATTAAAATTAATTTACCTTGTCTTTTTGTTGGTCGTCGAAGATTTTCTATTAATTTTTGATTTCATATTTCTAGTTAATCAAATCGTTTCCACCACGTGCAGTCAACGAACGAACCGTCCATGTTAACAAAATGAAACTGGTAATTTTTCAAAACATAAAGAACCGTTGAAACGAGAATTAAAAACGAGAATAAAAATATCGATATATTTGCAAGCAACATTAAAATACGATCTCTCGATTTGGAAAGTTAAGCGCGTGGTCACGAGAGCGCGCTGCAGTTTGTTACAAGATGGCGGGTGAGTGAGTGCCTGTGGATCGAACGAAGCTACCCAAAAACACGAGGGATTTTCAGCTAACTCGTGGTGTTTGTGGGTTTCAGATATATCCAACATCCAGAAAGAGAACCTGGACGATTCTGACGAAGGTGAGTACTGACACGGAAATATATTTTTGATGTTTGTAAATGTGCGCGGAACGGAAAGAGTATTCGGCACGGTGGCCCCACCATCGAAGCATGCCAGTGTCTGGTGTGCATGGCGGTGGCATGCTCGTAAACTCATATCCGTACATATAAGTACATTCTATCTTGCATAATATTTTGATCGGTCGGGTTTACTAACTTCATTATCGCGCGTAACAACACGATTCGGACATCATTGAACGGGTGTCACGTTGCAGTTTTGACTGTAACCCGTATGTCACGCCGTGATTCTCACATGCGCGACTAAGTCATGAGAGAGCCTCGATGGCGTTTTATCGGTTAGGGGGCGCCACGAAACGTGCCGCGCTGTGTTTACCTCGACCGCAGGCCGAAAAAAAAAGAAGAAAACAGAAAAAGGGCACGCGGTCGCTTTCGTCTTCATGTATTGTTCCCGTTCTTTTTCGCTTTTTTCACGGACGGATCGAAACATCATATATTCTTTTTCCCTCAATGTTTATACATTGCGAACTTTCCGATTTATAACCATGTCACTGATAGTTGACAAGTAGTAATTTTTTTGTTGTGTCCTTGTCTTAACGACTAACCACAATAGGGTTTATTTTGATTTTTTACACTTGGTGTATAGACATAGGAATATTCGAAACGAACAGATTCTTTTGTATCGTTCGATTGTGTAATGACAAGAACATTTCTTTATATATGAAGATACTACGGGACGAAAATAAAGTAAAATTTTTTAAATTCCAAGTTCTGCTCTACGTGTAATTTCTTTTACATCTGTGTAATGATTTCAGAAACCGATTAGATCAAACGGAATAAAAGTATCCTGCGGGGCTGAAGTAAACAGAGTTAATGCGCGGTTATTCGCCTATCGGGGTTACTGATCTTTCGACTTCCCATTTGCTAGTGCCATCTGTCGCATGTAAAACCAAACTGCATTATTAACTTTCAATAGAGCTTTTCCCGTAGAATTTTCAAACGTATTTCCAAACATAGCATCGACATACGTAACCGAAATGTCGAAATTTGTAGCGTTTTGTAAATTCGATCAAATACCGATATCTATCGATAATATACGATACCTTATGAATGAGATACGTTGACGAAGTATGTATACGATGCGTGAATCCTTATCAGAGCCTGTTGGACCTCTGGGCCGATAAAATCGACGCTCTGCGTATATAGGGCATCTACCTTTCCTTCTTTTTCCCTCTCATTCCCATACACACAATTCTCACCAACTGTTGCTGCTAACTCACAGTTGGTTCTAATCGACTTTATCAAACATTCCAGAGGTCGTTTATCAACTTGGCTCACTTGTATTTCCAAGCGCGACTAAATAGAACAATATTGAATCCTGTGCCCTTCTATCCTCGAGGCAATGACCTGATCTAAAGTCGTATCGATCACCGAGACCGTTACACGAATATCGTGTCGATGAACTATTTTATCAATTCATGTCTTTTTTTTTTTTTTTTGCTCCATCGATCGTTATGGCGTTAGTCACAAATCTAATGAAATAATTCGCAATTCGTTCACACAATCATTCGTATTCGGGAATCATTTAACAACGATTCATCTAAATCCTAAGAAATCGTTGTTTATCGATTCAACGCGCAGGTTGTTACGTGAGTAATCCTTTGCGATTCATAACTCGTGTATCCTATTTGATAACGTGCAACGGTAGCACGTGACACACCACTTCCTGATTCATACTTCCGACTTGAACGTTCATTCGATTATCAACTTAGCGCACGTACAATTTTTTTTACGACTTTCGCGTATTCTGCACGTTTCGTTCAGTCTCGTACGAATCCCATTTACTCGAAGACTGTCTTTAGTGAATAATGGTGATCAACCATCGACGAAGGAGAGACTAGAGATGACGAAATTTCGTGTCTCACGTTCTGTATTGTTTGTCACGAGCTCAAAAAAAAAAAAAGGTCACAATGTTTCTTACGCCCTCTACGATTTTCTACAGAGAATGCAGTAATTCAACACAATCGTCGAAGACGATAAAATCAATAGTCATAAAAATATTACATTCTTAAAGAAAAAAATTTATCGCTTAATAATTCATTGCGATAAAATATCTGTATAAGATAAATCTCTAGCTTGTTTTTATGTATTTTTATTATTATTATTATTATTATTATTATTATTATGTAATATGTAGTATTCTTATTTATATTTATGTTACATGTATATGTAATTGTATACGTATTGTATAGTTGTATACATATTTATATTTATATTACATATATATATATATATATATATATATATATATATAATTGTATACATATATATATATATATAATTGTATACATATTGTTTGAGTTACAAGTAAATATAGAAAATTTGATTTGGCAAGCGATTTTTGCTCTATTCTGTACAAAATTCTCATTTTACAGATATTGCAATTGAAAGTTTTGAATTTTATTTATGAACAATTTATTTTTTTTCTATCGAACATTTTATAAAAAGAAACATTAAATTCCATGAGATTATTTCTAAATTTTTCTTCTTGTTCTATTGTTCAATAAAAGGAGAACCTCGGATAGATCGAAATTGTATCCAGGTACAATGAACCAATGATCTATGTCATGTAATTATAAATATAATTTCATGGCAAAAAAATTTAGTTCAAATTATTTTATTTCCACTATTAATGTTGTTCTCTTACTCTATACTGAATCGATAACGTCCGTAGAGGCACGAAAGGGGTAAGAAGGAGTCATCACACCTCTCAAATCGTGAGACACGAAAAAGCATTGCATGTCAGATTTATTTATTTCATTCTTCGTCGATTCTTCGACTTATTTCGAAGCGTTGATACAATTGCACGCAATTGAACGAAACACGTTTGCCAAATTTTTCAAAGTCGGATATATGACGATGGAAGCCACGACAAGCAATAGTAATCAGTCGCGCGATTATGCAAATGATTCGGTGACTGACTGTAACAGCTAGCGAGTCGAATGTTGCTCAGGTATCAATGAATCCTTCTTTTCATTTGTATTGCAATACATCGTCACGTTCGCCGATTTCTTCTGTGATTTTTGTCTAGATACAAAACATTTTCGTTGTGATTTAACTTCTGAATCACTGATAATAGATCGAATATAGTTTATATTCGATTTATATTCGAACCGAATTAGGTCACTTATAATAATCCTAGGTTATTTAATTATCATTTCTACTCTATATTTTACACTATACATTTTCTATTGATCATTTTTATAATACATGAAATATCAAATGAAACAGTCTGAAACTAATTAACTTAATCTGACCTGTTATAGATTACCTACGATCCAATACTAATTGAGGGTTAAACTCGAAGAAATAAGTGCTCTGAATGTTTGAAAACGATTTACAAGCTTGTCGACCGCTTCTCATTGAAGGTATATACAGGATGACCGATCATAACCGACGCGACGAGATCGATCGAACTCCAACAGGTACGAGAGTTTAGCGAATCCTTGCGAAACATTTGCCGCGAAGAAAGGGAGCAGTCTATTTAACTGGCGTGTACGTTGCTCCCCATTCTGTGTTTGCGTTTATCGGCAAAGTGATCTCTTTCTCTCTTTTCTTTCTTTTTCTTTCTTTCTTTCCTCTTTCTTCCCTCCGTTTGCCGGTTTGACGTCGACGTCGGGTGAAGAGGATAGAAGAGACGGATAAAAAAAAAAAAAAAAAAAGAAAAGAAAGAAAAGGAGAGGGAGAGAGAGAGAAAGAGAGAGAGACATAGGACGAATATATAGGTGGATATACAGAGAAACTTTAATTTCTTGGCATTGTGAGGAGTTCCTTGCCCTTTCAGCCTTTTCAGTTCGGTGGTCTGTTTTTGATAGGAGGCCACGTCGTCTAGACACACCGGGGGTTGCCCAGCTTTTATAATCGCAACGAAATGCACCCCTCCGTGCTCGGCGCAAAAATACCGGTTTTTTTTCTCTCTGATTTTCTCTCTCTCTCTCTCTCTATTTATCTATCTATCTATTTCTCTCTTCCCCTCTCAACGTTGAATTTCTCTACCCCTTTTAACCTCGTCACCCCTTCGTTCCGTAGCGTCGTGCCACCGCGTTACATTAAAATGATTTATTCTCTTTATTAAATTCGCATTCTAGGCTACGAGAACGCATTCTCGACTGAATCGAATCTTGAGACCGGATGCGACCAACGATATGTATGTGTCTCCTCCGGTGGCGGCGACCTGCCTCCATGCCTTAATCGTATACAGGATACTCGTTCCTTTTTCTCGAAAG